AAAAATTTCTCCACTGAAAGGGTTGTAAAGCATTGGAACAGGGTGCCCAGGGAAGCGGTGGTGTCACCATCCCTGGAGGTATTTAAAAAATGTGTACATGTGGTACTTCGGGACATGGTTTAGTGGTGAACTTGACAGTGCTAGGTTAATGGTTGGGCTTGGTGATCTCAAAGGTCTTTTCCAACTTAATGAATCTAGGTTTTTGTAGAAAAGCCTGTCAGAGAGGCTATCCCTTGGATTCTCTTTCTGATTCATCTTGCTCTTCTTCCCGCCCTTATCAACTTTGCAAACATTTCTGTGGCTGAAGGGGAGCGGAGCGACCCTCCGGGCCGCGGGTCTGTGCAGCCGCCAGCGAACGAGGAGGAGGAGGAGGAGGGAGCCCCATCCTAGATGGGACTCCGGGGAGCACACGGGCAGGGGTTACTTCTCCTTTGTGCCCTTGGCGCTGGAGACAGCGAACCAAAGCAGCGCTTCACACCTCACCTGCAGGCTGCTTTCCCGCCTCACACCTTCCCCTCCTTGCAGCTGACAGGAGCAAAAGTCCAGCTTCTGCACAGCCGGTCGTTATTTCCACACGCTGCCCTCGCAGAGGACGCAGGCGACAGCGACGTGAGAATGACCCACGTCGGTAAATGCTGGTCAGCCTGGCTGTGCCCCGTGTCCTACCACGGCAGCATCTCGGGGACAACCCTGCAGGGCGCTCAGGCACGTGCCAAGCGTCCAGAGCATCTCGGAGGGCTGCATTTATGCACCCCATCATTCACCTTGCAGCTTCTGTGCTGGTTTGCCAAGCAGACGTGTATGACTCGAATTGGTTCTTGGAGACAAGCAAACAGTCCCAGCTCCTCTCCTGTGCCAAATCGGCATGACGTACACCCTGGTATTCCCTGGAAATGTCTACCGAAGGCAGTCTGGCCTGCATGCAACAAGAGCGAGCCTCCACGCTGTCTTTCCCACATAAGAGGCAGCGAGGAGCACCCTGCCATTTTACAAACAAGATACAGGGGTCTGCCTCAAAATCTGCATTGGTCCAGCAGCATGGAGGTGAGGGGGAGCAGACCCACAGCAAGCAGCCACAGTGTGCTTGGCCACGGTGACTGTGCCAGCTCACCCTGAAAATTCTTCACTAATCTCACACCACAGGGGAGACATATCCAGTCCAGAACCCTCACAGGCTTTCCTGAGCGAACCACAGGACAGAGGCATTTTGTTCATGTGAATCAACAGCGGGGTTTGTATGACATGCATTTGTCAACAGGAGTCATAGGTTTGCATGTGAATTTGGCGCAAAACTCAGCTCTGTTGGCTGCAAATTGTCCTTCCGGGACAAAACAGTCTCCGCAGTTTCCCGAGGGCAGACTTTGTCGGCAGCTTTATGCAGCGCAGCGATGGAGGTGGCTGGCTACGAGCAATCTGTTTTCTTGCTATCAGCACGTCTTGCCATGAGCCAGGGCAGTGCTGGCAAAGCTGCCAGTAAGCAGTACCTGTTAATGAGTCTCAAAACACAGCAGGTCATTTATACACTCTTGAAGGTGTGGAAATATTGTCACTAAATGCTGAGGACACAGCAGTCCTGGGACCAGTAGTCCAAAGGTTTCACATTTAGATCCTTAAATCTGAGCATTCAGCTTTGTACTTGGGCATCTTAAACAGATCCACTTTTCAGAGCAGGCACCTTTCTGCTTCTGTGGAGAGGGCTGTATTTCCAAACCAAGCCCAATATTCAGACACCCAAACCTGAAAATCTGATGCGTTTCATACAAAGTCAGTTGCATTTGAGAGGAAAAACCCATGGCCTGGCTCCTGCACGCTGGGTCTTCAGGGTATTCCTCAGTTCTCAGTAGCCTTCCTGCCCGTAAGAAATACTAAAATTATGTAAGGAGAAAAGCCAAAACCTCCTCTTTCAATTCCAGCCAGTATCTGGAGCAGCATTAAATTTCTTGTAGTGCGTATTAGTTAACAACATTGCTAAAGGGGAATTGCTGCTGCGGTTGAGTGCTTACACAATACAACTCCTATTTAAGTGCATTTTTGTATCCTGCTGAGTCACCCCAAGGAGCCCTCAAACAAAATTTCATGTTCAGTTTGGCAGCAGAGGCGGTGGCATGAAGAGCCCCCCTTTACCAGCCCTCCTGGGGGAATCTGAGGGCAGGATGGGCAACGCTTCAAACTGTGGAACTTAATGCAAAGCTAAAAGAAAGAAGTGCCTTAAAATTTCAGCCAACGTTTCCCCCCATAGAGCTTTAAGCACACGACATTTCCAGTCTGTTTCAGCTTCACTTAATAGATTAAAGTGACTGTTCAGTCTCTGAACTGCTCAGGTCAGACTATACTTCAGGCGAATGCTCTAAATAAGAGGACACATTATTTATACAGCATAATATTTCACTATTAGGGCTAGATGAATGTGGCTGTTTATTATTCCATAAAGCTGAGCGGGTTAATGCAGCACGAGCCTCTTGGCTTGTTTTGTTGGCAGCTGCCTTTCGGGCTGGCTGGGGATGCTTCCCTTGCCCACCCCTGGCATGCTGCGTGCGAGTTGAGGTCTGCAGCAGGCGACTGCAAGTACAGGGGCTTGCACAGCATGACAGCGAGGCAGGGACTGTTTGCACAAAAATAAAAAGGGCAATGTTTTCTCTGCATGAACAGTTCAATGGGTAAGATTTTTGTCTGTAGAAGTTCCGGCTGGTGCCATGTACCTGGGGATAAGAGGTCACTGCAGAGAAGGCAGAGGGTGGAGATGGGGTCTGAGGGCACACAGTGACTCTCCCCTGAGTTAACCCAAGGCACTGCTGGCACCACCGCCTGGAGGGCAGCTGGGTGCTGCTGGAGCAGGGAGCTGTACCTGACTGCACCCTGCAGAGGTTCACACACCATCCTGCACCAGATCAGATCTCGCTAAAGCAGGGCCCCACAGGCTTTGACCTTTGGTGTTCAATTTGGAGAAGAGCAAAAGGAGGCCAAAGCCTGAGCCCTTCCTGATGGTTGCGAATGAGCCACAAAGGAAAGAACTGAGGTGCTCCTACGACATGCCAGATGGCTCAAATCTGCAGAAAACCAATACAATAGCTTTGGTGTCACTGTAAGTCCAGTCAGTCAGAGGCAGAAGATCACTCCTTCAGGCTATGGATAAGGAATATTGCTGTGTATCTATAGACTAGGAACAATAAAGCTATAAAAAAAGGACAGTTTAAACAGCTGAGATTCATTTCACTGAATTTCTATGTGGTGTTTGGCACAGATTACGATAAAGCTACTTAGCAGTAGAGGACATCTAGTGATATTCGCATGTAACTACATAAACCCAACAAAAGTTCACGCGTGATTGCTTAAGAGCCAGCGTGGCCAAAGACGGGATATGGTGTGGCTGTAACAGCTGCAATAGGGCTGGGAAAGGCTGACTGCACAGCACCCTATATAAACAGGTCAAGAAAAAAAAAAAAATCCCAAGAGGCTTTATACATAGGAAACATACAGAGAGTGCACAGGCAGAAAGCTCAGGGGACCTGGTGGTGCTGCACCTTTTAACAAGAAGACATTACAGGAAAGCACAGTGCTTTTATTTCTACAGCAAAGACTCTGTAAGCAGGGATACAGAGATTAAAATCAGTAGTTTTCTTTTGGGAGTCTTTGCTCTTATCTCAATTTTCCTTTCATGTGACTCACCCTGAGTACACACTACTAACATCAGCCTCAAGATCAAGATATTTTTTCCTCCCCTAGTACAAGAGATCAGCCCTTGCTCCATACCATTTTGCAGCCTGCTGCTCTTTGTTTTAGGAAAGATACATAGAATACTTCACCCCTCTAGGTTATTTATAACAGGAGATTCTCTACAAGTATTTTTCCAGACATATTCCAGGCCTAGAATGAGGAATTTGGCTGCAAAACAAAGAGACTGGTTTCTAGAAAGACAAGGATCAGCAGAGGTTTATAAAGAACATGCTTCCCTAAAGAAATAGACTCATTTTATCCAATGCTTCCTTTAAATGGAATTATTCCCATGAAGATCACCATTAATTTGGGAGTAAGGGCTTCACATTTGAGGCCTCACCATCTTGCACTTATTTCCATGTCAGATGCACTCAGTTTACAAGTGTTGAGGAAAAGTAGGACTTTATTACTCCTAATAAAACACAAGGAAAGTACTGGCCATATTAGATCCTTAGGAATAGCCACGCAAACCTACAGTAGGCAAAAGTTTGCAGCTTAGCTGCTCTAACTGGCTTCAGCTCAGCAAACAGGTTTGATACAGGATCAGAGTGGCACCTGGCTATTAAATGATGGCAGCTGACCAGGACTGGGAATAAACTCCAACCAGTGCAAGCAGAAAGCAACCACACCATCAGTGAATAGCAGGCAAGACTTTATCTCTTACAGAATAATTTCTCTGAGCTGAATTACACATTGAAGGCCCAATCCTAGACACTTCTGCAGTGAGAACTGAGTATGAATTTGGTGAACAGAGATATCCACTCAAAATGCAAAGGACAGTGTTGGAAGGCCACAGGGACAGGCAAAAGAACAGAAGAAAAGGCTCTATTAGCGAAGACAACCCTGCAACAGCTGTTGGCTTTCGTGCCTTTCATGCATTTATGTTATTTATCAATGGACTCTATATTTAGCAATCATAAGACTAGAGTGTGGAGCAGCCCCAGCTCCTTGCTGGTGAAGGGGCTCTCTGGAGGGCAGCTGGTGGCTAGCAGAGGCTGGCACAGCTCTGAGAGCTCCACGGTAGCTGCTTGTACAAGGCGGGAGTCATTTCTCCAGCACACTAAGTCATTGTAGGCAGGAGACCGAATCTTACCCAATTTCCAAAAGCAGAACAGCTCTAAGCTCTCTTGTGATGAAACAAAAGCTGGCAGAGCACATGCTGCTATGTAGCAGGCAGGG